TTTTCTGAAGAACCTGCAAATGTGCAAGAAATAGTTACAGTATACAGTCCTCATAAGACAACTAGGCCATTAGAGAAAAACTGATGGACAGTCTCGACAGGATGTTACTGTCAAAGAAAAAAAAATCTAAATTGTTCTTTTTAGTTTTTTCAATATGTATTCCTGTTTTTCTTCAGAATAGTTTCATTTTTGATTAGATGTATACAATATAACTTTAAGAACATGTCACCAAAATGAATTTGAAAAAAAAAATGAAAATGAACTAATTGCTATTTAGGCTACTACGTAATGTTTACCATTAACTAAATAGCGACTTTGGCTAGTTTATAATGTTCAAAAATATCCAAATATCTAAAGCTAGTTAATAATGTTTATGATTAGCCAAATAGCTATTGTGGCTAGTTTACAATGCTCACTAATAGCCCAATAGCTAAGGCTAGTTTACAATGTTTAGCCAAATAGCTATAAGTTCGTAATGTTTACCATCCCTTACAAAAATTAGCCATGGTTTTGTTGTAGTAAAAGTGAAGTAACCATCATATTTTGGCATATTGATTACCATCTGTATAACCATAGTTTTACTACAAATACAATGGTTAGTGTAGCAAAACCATGGTTAGTTTGTGGTTACTACAGTTTAACATAGTAACCATGTTTTTTTGGTTTTATTTGTAGTAAAACCTTGGTTAATATTTGTAAGGGATGAGCCGGCTATTGTAGCTAGTTTATAATGTTCACCAATAGTCAAATAGATATTCAGGCTAGTTTATAATGTTTCCGATTAGATAACTATAAGCCTAGTTTATAATGTTTACCATCCCTTCCCTGTTGAAAAAATCAGCATAGGCTGGTTAGGTATGTTTTGAAGCTGGGATGCTGGTTTGAGCTGGTCCTTTGCTGGTTTATGCTGGTCCTTTGCTGGTCCTTTGCTGGTTTATGCTGGTCATATGCTGGTCTTAAGCTGGTCGGACCAGTTTAGGACCAGCACATGACCAGCTAAGGACCAGCATAAATTGTAGTAAAAATGCAGTAACAGTTTTTTTGTGGCGTATTGATTGTCATCTGTATAACCACAGTTTTACTACAAATACCATGGTTAAACTATGGTTAGTTTAGCAAAGCCTTGGTTCATTTGTGGCTACCATAGTAACATGTTGTTTTGTAGTAAAACCATGGTTATTTTTCGAAAGGGATGAGTCGGCTCTTGTAGCTAGTTTATAGTGTTCACCAATACTCAAATAGATATACTGGTTAGTTTATATTGCTCACTAGCTATAGGGTAAATAGCTGTTGTTGCTAGTTCATGTTGAATTTCAATATATGAAATACCTGAAACCAACACTTGTCATGGTGTAACTACAATACTACTTTTGTAAGGGTGTGAACATGAAAATGAGTTTCACACCAATTTAGGTTTTAAGGAGCAGACAACATCTGTGAAACTATTGTGTGTGTGACTGTAGAGCAGCTGTAGCCATGTTCTGTACTTAATGTGTACATTAAACGCGAGAGCAGATGTAGCAGTGTTCAGTAGTTGGTGTGTAAACAGAGCGGGTGAGCTGCTCTCAGTGTATAAGTAGCTCCAAGCAGATGGCACAGTTATGGCAGCCAGAGAAGTCAAGTCACAGCAACTTCAAGCAGCAGCTGCCCCTTTCATGCTGATTTAGGACCTGCTGCTGAGTTTTTACATTCAAAATCCATACCTGAAACAGTAAAAATTAGATTTTGTAGATTTCAGTGTAATGTACGCAGCTTTCACAGCTTGGTGGTCCAGAACGAGGTGAAGAGGAGGGAGAAGGGGTGCACTTACAGACGGTGTGGATGAGTAAACCATGAAGAACATATTGGGTGAGCAGAATGGCAAAAGCAGACATGAAAGAAACATAGAGCTGAGATGGCAGGAGATTATGCTCGTCAACATTGTTATGGACTGGAGCCAAGGAGGTGGGACAGCATCTGTGACTAACTTTGAAGTTTGTGCATAAATGTGAGCGTTTCCCATCAGTCCTTTCACTGTACTGTGTGTTTGTTACACTGCTTTCTCTGTAACAAAGATTTGAAGTGCACAAAAATGCATGTCATTTGGACCCATGATTGATTTCTTAATGCTTATATTTTCGAACAAGATTGATTAGATGATGTGTTTTGTAAATAAGTCATTGCAACCTCAGAATGAAAAAATACAAAGCTTGGCTTTATTTATTTATTTATTTTTTTAATTGCTACATCTCACAATTTTAACTTTTTTTTTTTTTTTACAATTTTGAATTTACTTCTTGTAAATGCAGCTTTATTTCCAACTCAATCTTATGGGAAAATGTAACTATTTTATTAGTTGGTCATTTTGAATGAATTTGTTTGAATATGTACTCATTTATTTTTATTTTTTTGTGTGAAAATGCATGAAAGGTCACCCATATATCTAACCCTCACTGGGGTGAAAGCAGATCATTTTACACACAAATTATATTGTATGAATTCATAACAAGTCCCCACCAAATGTAAAATCGTTATGAATTAGTTATGAATTGACATAAGAGTGTGTTATTTCTTATAACTGCAGCTTTATATCCCTCAATTGCAGCTTTATGTTATAACTTTGATTTTGTATCTCACAATTTATTCTTTTATTTGTTATATTTGTTCTTTATTCAGATGCCCATCTTCCACAAAGTGGTTTCTAGTTGTTTTGGAGTCCACGCAACAATTTAGAATACAAAATATATGAATATATAATTCAAAAACAAGGATAAAATTACTATAAGCAGGTCAACAAACAATAGTATGACATTATTATGTTACATTAATCTGAATAATTAACTACATATACAAATATATAGCATATAAATGTATTTATGTATTTATTTGGTATGTGTAGACTATCACAAAGACAAGTGTGTTTTCTCAGGACAGCTATTTAATGATATCTGTAAGGTAGTAGGGACATTTTATGTGTAGTATTGAGAAAAAATGCTTGAAGCACCTTTAAGTAACTGAATGTCTGCGGATTTTACAGATTGTGTTTTACAGCCTGTTTTACATAACAGTAAAGTGAACCCTCTAGTGGTGTAGTCATATCATTACACTTTTTTTAGGAGGCAGTTTCATTTTTTTTTTTCAGATACTGGGCCTATGAGTCCCATTTACCTCCTGTTGGCCTCAAAGTCTCAGTCCTGTTATTATGGCTGAATGTAATTTTCTCCTCTCAGCTCCTAAGTTCTTAAAGTATCTCAGCTTCTCTCATGAAAGCATCATAATTGAGCTTTAGGTAAGAAATGAGAGAGAAATGTGTGCCTTCCAATAAATATAGTGTGACTTCATGGTGTTGAGCTCTAGAAGATCATCCAAGCTCAAGATCACAGATAATCAATCCCTGACAGTCGTGCCCTGTCTCCATCCCTGCCTAGACAGGCGCCAGTCAGCCACTGTCCCCAGTGGTATATAGTGGTGTCTTTAACACAATATGAGAAGAGATAGGACAAGATTAGCAGTCTGTATGTTTGCTGGAATAACCATCCACTTCCAGTTATCACGCACTACTGATTGCACAACAAAACAACATAGAATAAATCCTAATGAACATGTTATTTAATGTTGGATGTTTGGGAGCAAAAAGAATATTTATGTAGAATACTTTTTTTTTTTTTGCTCCACCAGTGGAAATAGTTTCAAACGAAGTCACAGCAGAATCAACTGCCGTGTCTCTGAGCAACACACAGTAGTGGTATTTTGTTCCAGAATTAAGCAGTGTTGTTAAATGAATCGGTTGAGTGACTGTTTCAAATGACTCACTAACAAAGACAGTGACTGTGCCTGAAAGCTTAGGCAGCTGACTTGTTACCTCATTGCCCTATCAGGCAATGACTTTGCTGGCAGACATTGCGCATGACAGATTTCAGACAGACTTCTGAGCATAACGGTTTTATGATCTACAACAAAATAGAGAGAGCTTTGATAATAAATGTGAATAAGTGTATATGTAATTTGTAATTACTACAATACTAATTTCTCCCTTAAATTACGAAAAAGGAAAAAGTTGGCCAAAAACATACATTTACACACAAACTGACCACCAAACACACTTTTACAATGCATTTAACTTTATTCGCTCAGTTGTCATGGAATAGAAAATCTTAGTAGAAAGGATGTGAGATGATCATTGGATTCAGATGCTTGTTGCCTTCCTACCGCTGTATGCTGCCTGCAGACGTGGCATTTTTCAGCTTTTTTGAGCCTTTCTTTTGTTTTGTTTCTTAAGGAATCAGTGTCGTTGAATGAATCAGTGAAGTGAATGATACAGATGACGAATAATTCAGTTACAGTTGCCTGTTTTGTTTTTAAAAAAATCAGTGTTGCTGAGTGAATGATTGAGTTAATAATTCAAATGACTCACTAATAATGACAAGCACTTGTTGCCACATACTAGTAATGATGTAACCTGTAGAATGAATCATTGAAAAATGCCCACCGATAATACACATACTCTGGTCTGGCTCAAACACAGACAAGTGAAGTTATAGAAAAAAAGAGCGAGACATTCTAGCAGCATGTGTCAGATTGTGTTCGATAGTAGCTGTGGTTAGCCTTAGCTATCTCAGTCACAAAACTGTGTGCAAAAATGTGACAAAAACAGCGAAGTGCATTTTCACACTACACCATTAGTGTAGTAGATTGTTACAAGAAAAGCTACACTACTAGGAGAACAGCTGAGTTGCTGTCACACTTTTAAAAAATTTAAAGTTCCTCCCCAACACAACACTGGTTTGAAGAATACAAATATCCCACAAGGTCATAATCTCACAGAGGATGTATATCCATAATGGATATGTGATATCAATCTGGTTAACTGATCCCTACCCTTGTTTTCTGTTTCTCTGTTTCCCTTTTTTGTTTACTGTCATTTTCTTTATCTGAAATGTAATCTGTATAATTCCTTCTCTGTATATTCCAGCTTTATACTATATCTCCTTTCCTTCTCTTCTGCGTCTGCACCTCTGCAGGTACATCAGAGCAATGTATCTTGGAATCCAGAGCCGCAGACAAAAGGAGAACCAGCGACGCTTCTACTGGGCCATGATGTACGAGTATGCCGATGTCAACATGCTCCGTCTATTGGAGACATTTCTGGAAAGTGCTCCACAGCTGGTTCTCCAGCTCTGCATCATGATCCAGAAGAACCGGGCAGAAACGCTGCAGTGTAAGGAGTGCCTCTAGGCTCTGTACTGAGACCACTGACATTTCGAACAGTACTGCTTATGTGTGTCAATGATGAATGTTTTTGGATGTGTAAATTTCACTGGGATAACTCTGAAACCTTGGCAAGAAGAATGTGACACAATTTATACCTTTCAGAAGATATATTTACTCATGATTTCATATTTTGTGATTGTGGTCTAGCATAATGCAATTATAGGTTAAGAATTTCAGTAGTGAGAGTTGTTTCAAATTGACTGTTGTTGACACAAACAACATGCACTGCATGCTCTAGCAACATTTCATGATTAGAAATGCTACTGGAAATGTACCTTTAATTTTTTTATGAGTGCAACTCAAGGCTCTGTAACAACATGATGCATGGCCAAAATTTGCTGTTAGGTTAGCTTTTCAAGTGACAATAGTATATGCCCAATTGGATCTCACAGCTTTGTGTTATATTAATTTATCAACACGTCAAACAACCATCTTAATCTTTCAGAAAACTGGACACATCATGGAAAATCTATACTGTGCATCTGGAAAAAAGGCTGAGTTGTGGATGAATCTGAGTATAATGCCCTCCCTGTCTGAGACTTTTTGAATGATCAACTGTGTTTGTGGGGAGCATGTTTTTTCTGCTGTGCAGCAGATAATCTGAGCCGTAAGACCATTTCTTACGTTTGAGGTGACAGCACTGCCAGCATATGAACATGAAGTCTGAGCTCAGCAGGATGAATGGTAAACGTCTTAGAAAAAAGATATGTAGAACAAGAAAGAGGTGTGTTTTGGAAAATGGCTCCAACAAATGGTAGGCAGGTATTGTAGAAATGATAAGACAATGATTGATGCTGTTTGTATGTGTTAGCGTGCTTTTCATTAGCATTACTGGATACAGACAGTTAATGTTATTCATCGCAGTACATATATAATGGATTGTGATTTTATTATTTTTTTCACACAGAAAATTTACAAAGATTGCAGTGTGTTAGAATAACAGACAGATTAGAACCTGGAATTTGAAACACGCTTTAATGTGTTTATTGTGGTCCTGATACTTGTCCATTTATCATGTAAAAAGACTTAAAGGGATAGTTCACCTAAAAATTTAAATTACTCTATGATTTACTCACATTACAATAACATTACAATTTTTTTTTTTTAAGATATTCATATTAATTCCAACTATAAACAAGCAACAACATTGTATGTCTCTCTGTTGTCCAGGTGTGTCGGCGGTCGCGTCTCTCCTCTCTCTTTCCTGGGTTCTGGCCTCGTACCACAAGCTTCTGCGTGATTCCCGCGACGACCAAAAGAGCATGAGCTACCGGGGAGCGCTGGTGCATCTTCTGTGGCGTTTCTTCACCATTTCTTCTCGGGCGCTATCTTTCGCCCTCTTTGCCTCAGTTTTCCACATCTACTTTGGCATTTTTGTGGTGCTGCACTGGTGTGCCATGGCCTTCTGGGTAATCCACGGAGGAACCGACTTCTGTATGTCCAAGTGGGAGGAGGTGCTATTCAACATGGTGGTAGGCGTGGTCTATGTCTTCTGCTGGTTTAACGTCAAGGAGGGAAGGACCCGATTCCGCATGGTGGTTTATTATTTGCTGGTGCTGGTGGAAAATACCATCCTTACTGCTCTGTGGTACACCTACAGAGACCCGGTCACTACCGACTCCTACGCTGCATCTGCCCTCTGCGGCGTCTTCCTGTGCTTTGCCTCCGGAGTGGCCTGCATGGTCCTCTACTACAGCGTCCTGCATCCCATGGGGCCCCGGCTGAGGGTGCTGGCCAGTTCCTGCTGTGCTGAGCTGCTCTGGGGCCTCCCCTTGCCACCCGAGGCTGAGCCCATGGCTCCCACTCCGGGGCCTCGGGGCTCCCAAGCCACCCCGACCAGGGGGATGGCTTCAGGGGACTACAGCGAGCCGGAGGATGCCGCCACAGACACTTGTCTGCCGGTGTTCCAGGTGAGATCCACAGAGCCCACCGATGCGGCGGGTAGGCCCATCCCCCCCGAGGGGCCCCTCATCAAGATCGACATGCCCAGGAAGCGCTACCCAGCCTGGGATGCTCACTTTGTGGACCGACGTTTGCGGCGGACCATAAACATCCTCCAGTACATCAGCCCCAATGCGGTGGGCATCAGGTACAGGGATGGACCCCTCCTCTACGAGCTGCTCCAGTACGAGTCCTCCCTGTGAAGGTGTGCGATGCCGCTCTATCTCTACTATCATGCCCTCTCTGGTTCTCCACTTCCCCTGGTGCTTTTTTATTTAGTTGTGCTCTGAAGCTATAAGAGTGCATCTAAAAGAGTCTAAACAGAGAATATTCAACATATATTTTGACTAACAGAGTGTAGAGTTAGAGTTAGTCCGAAATACAACATTCCCTAGTTTGGGTTACTATGGCGTGAATGTTCGACTAATGTGTATGTTTGATGGTGTTTGTGGCCCTGTCGCCTCTAAAATGTGCATGATGGGAATGATGGAGGAACATAGTCTTTAGCATCCTCATTCTGATTTTGCTTTTACCATTTTGTGCCTACATTTTTCCCAGACAGTTGTGGTGACAACTGTTCTTAAAGATGGCAAATGAGTCAATATTAGCTAGACACTAAAAAGCACATTTGATTGTCAAAAAAAACACACGATGCCCCACTCCTTTTCTCCATTGATAAAGGGGGAAGAGGCTTGAAATTGTTGGGAAAGTGCACCAAAAAGGTACAATCATTTTTCAAATAAAATGCAATGATGTCATGTAAAAAATTGGTGTTAAATTTTGGTGACGGCCTACCATATTATACTGCCACCACTATTTTGATCATCAAGGGCCTTAATATTTATCTTAACATGTCTTTTCCTACTGAATCTCACTAGTGATGTGATATCTTCAGCTCTGTAATCTGAGGGAGTTGAATATTTGAATTTTTTACATATGGCCCACTATTTTTTTAACCCATCTGTAGTATGTGAGGGTGCACTTTATGACTGCTATGTCTAAATAAATGGGACATATTTTCTTATATACACTACCGTTCAAAAGTTTGGGCTTAGTAAGGATGCATTAAATTGATCAAAAGTGACAGTAAACAGTACAACTTTTCTATTCTGTTTAAAGGATAATGTAATTACTTTTCTTTCTCAAATAAATGCTGTTCTTTGAACCTTTTATTCATCAAAGAATCCTAAATAATGTATCACGGTTTCCACAAAAATATTAAGCAGCATGAATGCTTTCAATATTAATAATAAGAAATGTTTCTTGAGCACCAAATTCATCATATTAGAATGATTTCTGAAGAAATTGCTGAAAACTGGAGTAATGACTGCTATATTACTAACGTCTAATATATACCCAAAACTTTTAAACGGTAGTGCATATGATTATTATTATTTTTTATATATGGCCCACTGATATATTTTTTAACCCATTTATATTACATGTGAGTGCAACTGATGAAAGCTAGAAAGAATAAATAGGACATATTTCCTTAAATAAGTCCTTCCATAAATAAACACACACACACACGCGCACACACATAAAAATAAACTACTCTGTTAAACATATTTTGTCATATAATTTACAAAATGTGCTTTATGTGAATTAACATGTAAATTAATTGGTTTTATTCAAGGAAAAATATTAAGTAATATGACTAAACAAACCTTAATGAAATAGGTTACATCAAAGTTATTTTTGAGGGTTAAATCATGGGTTAGAAAACTGATCTTTAAAGTAACAATTGCTTGTTACCATTTTTACATTGTAATAATGAACAGAAATATTTGCTGTGTGTGGTGCTCAACTCTAACCTTTAGTACTCCTCCATCATTCCCTGCACAAAATTGCATTTTTCTCTCCACTTAAACCTTTTCTTCAGAAAAAAGGCTAATGGTTTCTCAAAAGGTGAAGAACCTTGACACATTTACATGTGTAAATGGTATACCATTCGCATTCAAAATGTACTATATTCATTTTTGATAAAAGAAAAAGGTTCTTTATTTGAATTGTGCAATATTTTTTTGAAAATGTACTTTGAAGTGATTGGAGAAAAAGGTGTTGCTTTTGCCTGAAATTAGCTAAGTTTATACACCACCATCGAATGCATGCCAAGGTTGCACATATTGAGGATTGACTAGGTTGCCCGGTGCCAACCAGCGAATGAGGGTTTCTAATGTGCAAGATTATTGAATTAAACATCCCATTTTATGTTTATTTTTTTTCAGTATCCTATATACGGTGCACTTAGAACAAACCTGAGGGTTACCTCTACAAAAAGCCACTTGTTTACCTCCAATCCTGAGGTAATTTTCCCCTGATTTCATCAATTCAATTGAGAATGAATTGCTCTGTGAGGGCTGAGGTAATTTTTGTTGTTCCGACGCTTTGTTTAGCATCCAGGCGAGATAAATGCAGAAATTAACATGGGATGCCAAGTTTCACCGCATGGGCTGCTACAAACCCCATTTGTGCCTGCTGAAATTTTCCAAGCAGACTTCAGATCAGTTGTAGTTGACGATGTGGAGGGTTTTTTTTGCCAGGGATGGAAAAGAACATGAGGATAGACAATAGCTATCAGTGAGTGTGTGTATTCATGTGTGTGTATGCGTGTGACTTTGGTTTGTAGGTCTTACCTCTTCAGCTCCATCCTTGGTTGCTGCTCTGACCCCTCCACCCCTCTCATGCGAGTGTTATCTAGGATATTTGGATGCAAAGACTATGTTTCAAGATAACAACTTGGATTTATAACCTGGCCAAAGGGAACGGGGGATGGGCAGGTGATTTCATGCAATTCTTATTCCAAAACATCAATATTCCGTAACCCTTGCAATATCAGGTTTTCAGTTTAAGCAAAAGAACGAAACAGTTCCGTTTCCTGTTCCCTGTTCTCTTCCAGTGCCTAAAAAGTCACCGATATTCCACTTCTGTAGGTGCTTGGCACATTGATGCACTGTTGTTTGCTGGGATATCACCAACCCTGTTACGCTATGACGTGTACGACAGCTACTCGTTTTTACGGTTGCGTGACTCGGCTGCCTGGCATCCCATGATACGTTCATAGTCCAATTACAGAATCGGTAACTGCTAACGCACTTGAGGAAAGACAGTCCAGGTGATATTTTCAACTACACTGTGATATGATATTTTCTTCTATTATTCCACTAGCATGATGTGTAGTGACCAACATCGCCACGTTTGATCAGATATAGGTCAGGATTTGCAACAAATCCAATCCTGTACAGCATGCATATAATTCCGAATTGGTTTGTTTTAGATTACTGCCTTACTAGTCAAACAAGTTACACATCAGATTAGTCGATATTAAAGTCATGCTGCCATTTGTAGACATGGAGGGTGGGATGGGTAAGTGGGACCAGTCTCTAATATCTGATTCTTTGTGGTGCCTTGTCTTTTTGGGTGCTTCTGTGTAGCCATGGCAGCCAGTGCAGCAAACAACAATGCCAGTGTCTCTATCTCCATTCATATTTCGCTCAGTACTGTAACAAGCCAGTCAATTTTGTCCCGTACCCACAAAGAAAGTGCACTCCGGGTAAATCTTTGCAAAACGAAATGATCTGCATATTACAACTTAAAGGCAATACTTAACATCTACTTGAATGTTGGGTTCCACACTTTTCCCGAAGACGAAATACACAGACCGGTTCCATTCGACTATTCTCGAGGGTTTTGTTTATGATCGGATACGAAAAAGCAATGAGATTTGGTTTGTTTGGGTACTAAATGACAGTTATGATGAAGTTAGCAATTTATTTAATGATTGTTAATGTACTTCTGTCTATGCCTTCCTCTGTCTTGCAAAACGAATGAGCTGTAGTGCCAACAAGTTAATCTTTTCTCTCTGTCGTTTGTCTTGTGAACAAAAATGTCTAGCCAAATGGATTTATGCCTGCAAAAAAAAAGAAGAAAAAAAAAAAGAAAAAATGTGTGTAGACCAATAAGAATAGAAAAAGTGGGGTACGTAAATATGGTGCTGACTGGGTGGAATATTTTAACTAAAACCTGAGATGGCATTGGACGCATTTTTAAAGGCCTCTAGTGCTGAACCATCTTCAGACTGCTTCTACATCCTTTGGATACTTAGCATGCCCGCAAAATGCATCCTATGGTGACTCCTCCAACACACGTGCATGTTTTCTTCAGTGCTATGTCCCACCCATCGCTCCAGGGTTCTCTACACGCTCATCAAATCCAGTTCTGTGCAGTGGTTCCGCAATGATCAGTATTGATATAGAGCCAAAAGTTCTGATGACGAAACAACCACAAAACGGTGCATTTTTGTTTCTTGACCTGGTGCTTATCAACATATTCTAAAGGTGCTACCACAAATGTGGACTGCAGGACCCCTGTTGTGGCTCACTAAGCAAGGCCACCGTCCGATAGACCTGTCTCTTTAAGCTCACGGACACTTTCTTCTCTGGAAGAACAAGCACCTCAACACAGTTTACAGCCAAACATCTCTCTTTGAAATATGGTGCCATTTATTATGTTTCAAGCTGTACAAAGAAGCATTGGTGCAGCAAATATGTTTATTTTTTACTTCTTCCCCCGAATTTCTGTTTATTTTTATGTATATTTGTTTAAAAAAAATATGTTTAGGTGTTTAGAATCTGCACTAGGATTTCTCGTAAGAGAAAAAAAATATGAAAATGCATCATTTTGACATTCATCTATATAGGCCTAAAAGGACTACTGGTAAAAAGGGATCGCTAAACATATAGAAGGTGATTGCTGTGTTGTATATTCCTGTCATCTCTATGTCCTAAACCTATGTGTATTTCTTCTGTTATTGTAGATCTGGCTGTATATTTTGTTGGAAAATGATCTTATTAATGATTATGGTTGTCAGATGAATTGCTGCTGATTTTAGAGTTGTTATCCATGCTGTTGGACACGGGTAAGTTACCTGTAAAACAGATTGTGTTAGATCGTCATTGTATTTCTCACATGGGGTGTTAAAGAAAGAAGGCACAAAGTTAAGCAAATGATTTGCTACTATCTGTAACATTTCTTTTTTCATAACTGACTGTACTTATTACTTATGTTGAGAAAAAAAAAGATTTATTTGATGTTGTCAAATACAAATGAAAGTAAATTGTTTTGTTTGATTGCCATTATTTGAGAACAAAACTGATGTCTAGTAATGCATTAGACCTTATTTTTGGGAAAAAATATTACTAATACTGACAACATATGGTGCTACGGTTGATTTTGTAAACTTTGGTTTTTAGGTGAAAAAGGGAATATCATACTGACAAAAAAAAGAATATGTTGAGCCTTACTGTAGATCTATATATGAGACTGTTCATCACTGAAGACTGGAAAAATAAGTATAGTATTTGAAAGTGAGTACATATATATATAAAACTGTATGCTTTGTTTATGCATAATTTGCCCAATGACAGATCAAAGTGGTTATATACTAATGTATATGTTCAGATGTGTATGTGAATGTATACTGATATGATAGAGATAGATTTCCCAGAGTAACAAATTGTTGTTTAATAAAGATATGACATTATTATAATTCATTTTTATCATCAAATTGCTTCAATCGAATTATTAGTTATGAAACACTCGAATGTATTCAGAATTCATAACTTATTCATATATCCAAGCATGTAACCACATTCAGGACTGGGGGGGATCTGATTAACAACAGTAACTATGTTACTTTGGTGGTGGTTACAACCGATGAAGTATCAATAGTCTAAAACAGCTAATTGAGTAAATCCATAAATAAAGACAAATGTTATTGAAGGAACAGATTTAAATTAGAAGTAGGCTATGTTACATTATATGTTCAAAATAAGCATTTAGAGATGTTTATGGCATTTTAATTAAGGTAAAGTGTTGTAACTATATTATTTAAGTCTTCTTGTAGCCTTTTTAGGAGTTTGCTGCGGCCCCCTAGTGGGCCCCAGTCCGCTCTTTAAAGAGTCACTGTACTAGAACTTATTACAATTACTTACTATTAAGTTAGAGTAAAAATGCACAATCTAAAACATACTAAACTGACCTAAATCTTTAATTTTCAGGGGATATGAATAAAACCATATGCATTTAGTTTGTAGTTTAATATGAGCTTATGAGGTTGATTAGCTGGTCAATGGACAGGTCGAAAGGCTGAAACCTGCTACTGCGGCGCGTGTCGGTCAGAGTGGTTTTGCTTCGTTTCTTTCAAATGTTAGAGGTTATTTTACATTTATATAACAAGGTTTGGCAGGAAGGGAAATTACCAGGAAACTGGAAAAAAGCAGTTATAGTACCCATTGGGAAAACAGGAAAAGAACCCACCAATCCATATAACTATAGACCAATAGCATTGACATCTCACATGTGTAAAATAATGGAACGTATGATCACAGAAAGATTATCATATTATTTGGAAACAAGGAACCTCAGATCAAATTATCAAAGTGGATTTAGAAGAGGTAGGGGAACAATGGATCCTATAGTATGCTTAGAATCAGAGGTGAGGAAGGCACAAGTGAATAAAGAGGTAGTGGTAGCAGTATATTTTGATGTGGAAAAAGCCTATGATTTACTATGGAAAGAGGGATTATTAATTAAAATGAAAAGATTAGGAATATAAGGGAGAATGTTCAGATGGGTGAAAGAATTTTTGAATGAACGCTCGATAGAGGTGAGGGTGGGAAAAACTTTTTCAGCAAGTTTTTTGGTGGATAATGGAACGCCACAAGGAAGCGTTATAAGTCCTCTGTTGTTTTCAATAATGATTGATGATGTATATAATAATATTGGGCAAGGTATAGGGAAATCTTTGTTTGCGGATGATGGGGCAATGTGGAAAAGAGGTAGAAATGTTGAATATGTTGTGAAACAGTTGCAGGAAACAATCAAAAGAGTGGAGCAGTGTTCTTTGGAATGAGGATTTAAATTTTCTGTGGAAAAAACAAAAACACTCTTCTTTACAAGGAAAAAAATTGGAGCAGAGGTCAAACTGTAGGAGAAGAAAGGGAAAGAAATGGAAAAGGAACATTCAAATGAACAGGGTATGACAAAAAGTCAGATAGAAGATGGAGATATGTTACTTGTAAAAAAGAAGGATTTTGTGTATTTCATGGCTGAAGTGATTAATTGCACATTCCAAGCAAAGGGGAGGTCTGAAAAAATTGAAATAATTGTAAAAAGTGCAGCAAGATATTTAAATATTCAAGGAATATCTGGGAGGGGGGTACAAGAAGAGCTTAAAAAACAGGAACACATAAGCAAAGAATCATGGTCACAAGATTCATTCTAATCATGTTAGTTCTCCAGTGGAATGCAAGGAGTTTATTGTCGAATGGCCAAGAGTTTAAAGGATTTATTGAGGGGTTAGAAAATAAACCTGATATAATATGTGTTGAAGAGACATGGCTTAAACCTAATTTAGATTTTGTGATTCAAGGATATGTATGTATAAGAAGGGATAGAGAAAGGGGTAATGGGGGAGGATGTAGATCAGTGGGTAGCGGTAATGCACCCGAAAGCTGTTTGCCAACCGCCAATAAAAACAAAAGAAGAAGAAGAAGAAGAAGAAGAGCTTAGGTTTTCTGTTTGTCTCGCAAAGCACTGTGGGTAGACGTCCTACGCCCAAAATGGCGGCAGGATTGAAAAGTTTGTTGCTGCTTTTGTTTTATTTTATGACATTTTATCGGTCTCTGTCTCCTTCTGAATAAATCCCTATTTTTTTTTATCACGATTAAAAAGGTTAGTCGTTTATTTGGATCGGTGTTTTGTTTAGTTTAGATCGGTAAAGCGCCTCCGTGGAAGTGTATGAGGCAGATGGCACTGAACTCGTGGACATCACTGCATCTAATACAATTAAAATGAAGAGCATTTGTACATAGAGATGGAGGATGACGTAAAGAAAGTCAAAAAGGTAAGTCAACATTGTAATATTTTGAGACTTTACGCGCATGATCCACAAACTGGATAGTAGTTGAAAAGTGTTGGCCTAACCACAGATAAACCGCTGTATTAGCTCTCCTCAGCCTCATAAAAACACCCACATTTTATTCTTATCACTAATGATATTTAGAGGATTCTCTATGCGTTTTGTCGTTAACGTTACCTGACTGGATTAGTAACGTTAGGGGAATTGCTGGTGGTTTACGTTAGTCGCTTTACTGAGACTCATCACCCAAAATAACCTGAGAATCTCAGCATGTGACTTTACTGTGATTGTTACATATCTGTCTCTTGTCATTTTCTTCTGAGGTTCTTTATGGCATTTAGTATCTCGCTCATACTTCGGTCAGAGTTACAGAGCCCCCCTATGGTCCCGTAGAAAAATATTTGAGATGCGATCATCTGTACCTGCATTTTCTAATCTGTACTGTCTGTTTATAATTTTTTGTAATCTATACAATCAGTAGCTACTCAAAGATTCATAAACGACATCCATAGTATCGCAGCATGGTCCTCCAATTAAGAAATATGTTTACACTGATGTTCTTGTAATAGATATGATCCTAAAATATTGGAATTTTACATTGTAGTAAATAATATATAAATATCATATAAATAAACAAAAAAAGAGCCAAAACCGCAAAATAACATATAGCCTAGCTCTTAATAGATTTTAAGTTAGAAGTTGTGAACCTAAAATTAGAATGTAAAATACATCCAGGCTTTTCTTAAAAACTTACCAGATACATTTACTAACGTTTGTTTTATATATATATATATATATATA